GGGTCCATCAGGCCCTGGGCCTCACATCCAGAAAAATCCTTGAGTTTAAAACTTTAGACATGTTCTTCAAACAAGGTTTTACACAGTCACTGAGAAATGCTGATAGGATTGAAAGATACCTTCTAATTTACGGCTTTAAGTTGTGCTTGTTACAAGACCAGACCAAGTCCATTATGATTAATATTCTTTCTAAGTCCCGTGTTTATCTTGTGAAGGGTACAATTACACTGCACTGTGTTTTAAAAATAAAAACATTACTGTCTTTAAAAATTTTTTTTATTGGCATTTGTTCATTTTGTAAATCTACCTGGTAACCACAGATTGTAGAAGTGGCCCAGGTCTTCTGTTAACCTTGAGAAGAGTTGGGGACAAACTGGGATAAAAATGGTCCTGAAAGAAATACGGACCTCAAAGAGTTTCCCTGGGTTGCCCTGGCACTGCGGTTAACACAGCTCGACTACACACGCACACAGAGCAAGCTGGTAAAGAAATCTGGAAGCAATCAGAAATCATCCTCTCCACAGCCTCACACACTTTGCTCTTTTTACCTGAGCTTCTGTCAGGGAGAGTGATTCAGCAGTGCTCGGCATACAGCAAGTGTTCATAGACGCAGGCTCTTTACCATCAATATTAATAATAATGAGGAAACTAGAACCTTTTGTGGGGCCTGTATTTTCAGCTCATATTTTGTTCTTTCTTAATGGTTAAATCAATTCCTCAGCCTTAAGAAGGAAAACACCCCTGTTCACAAATGACCACCTTTTGCCTGGGATAAAAATTAGGTGGGTAGCTACATATGGAACTGAAGGATGAAGGTGAAATTGGGGTGAAACTTTCATTTTAGTGAGGACCAAATCCACTCCTGTTGACAACGGGGGGTATGGGCCCTCTAAGATGGGGGTGATATGCCAAATATCTCTAAAAGCATAAATATTTTTGTTTAAATATCTGGGATGTACCACCAATTTCCTATTCCTTTCTACCAGAAGCTAAAGCCAATCCGACCTCCTTACCATGATAGCATCTCAAATGCCCACCCCGCCCCACTTTCTCCCAAAGTTTCTTGTGCTAATTCTTCCCTCCCTGGCCCACATAACGCCCCCCTTCTCTTATGCTTCCCGATCTGGGCAAGCTCCGTGACAAGGCCGCGTGATTCAGACACACGCTCCACCTAAGGCCGCACACCTCCTTTAAAAGCACGCACAACTACCACTTCTCTCAGTGCTGAGTGCTGGTAGGAGGGAAAATCAGAGCAGGAGGGTCGGGCTGATGGATGCTGGAGCAGGACAGGGAGCTCTAACCTGCCACTCGGGGTATTTATC